TAGGAATAAGAGATCCTCCGGAAAAGGGCTTTATTCCGGAGGATCACGCCAGTCTAGATGCTTTTTTCCGGCTTTTCCCCAAGCCGGAAAAAAAGCGGCGGCCATGTTTATTTAAATCCCCCGCGGATTTCCCTATTCTGAAGTTGGAAATTAACATGCCTCTTCCGGAGAAGGGGCCAATGTAGATGTAGCCTGGGTGTTTGCATCATTGTCTGTGAAAACAGCCAATACATTAGGTAAGAAGGCCTGGTTGCTAATCAGGTCCTAATCCAGGCCCCAGATCAGATTTAGAGAGCCATAGGGAAGGGACTTACGCTGCAGAGGATACATTACTCTTTCTCATGCAAAATGACTGGCTGACCTCTATCTACAGTTCAGCAGAATATAAAATCCTACTGGGCAGAAAATACCACTGTACACTCACACTTGGGCTTGTAGAACAAACTGGTTCTGGAAAAAGGAATGAAGCTACACTGCAGCTCTTAGCAGCAAGGATAGCAGGGTAAGACCTTATGCCAGGCTCTGAGTTTAATCCCAGACTCGGGTGTGGCACTCTCCACAGTCCTGCATACCAACATGCACTGTGCTTCCAGTGACCCTGAGGGAATTGGCTAGGACCCAGTCGGTGGGCCTGAGCTGGATGGACCATCTCTATGGGTGGAAGCAGAGACAGTGCTTTATCCCTGTGTTGGGAGACCAGCAGACCCAGTTGTAATGGAACCTGGCCTAGCAAGAAGTGCAGGTAGAAGCTAGGGATGTAAAATCCCATTTAATTGGCTAACCAATTAAACATTATGTTTAACCAGTTAACTGATTTCAGTGGGGGCTGAAGCAGTCTCCCTATCCTCCATGGCCTGGCTGGAGCAGCCCCTCTCCTGCTTGCAAACAAAGGCTGCTCCTGCTGGCTGGTAGGAGCAAACTCTGCCTGCCGTAGGGGGCTGTGCCGCACCCACCACAGACAAGAGCTGCTCTGGACAACCAGTCAGAGTAGCACCTACCTGCAGTGGGCCCTTGAGAACTGGGGTGGGTGGGGAACTGTTCCAGCCTCTACTGGTTAACCAGAACCAACAAACCTCACATGTGGGTGAGGCTTACCATTTAACCGTTCACATCCCTAGTGAGAACCTTGTGGCTATGTCTACACTGGTGGCTTATTGTGCAAGAACATCCTGCGCAAAGGTTACACAAGAAAACATCCACACTGCCATGTGCAAGATGTGCTTCTGTGCAAGAGCATCCATGGCAGTGTGGACTCTCTCTTGCGCAAGAGAGCTCTGATAGCCATTTTAGCCATAGGGCTTTCTTGCACAAGAAATCCCTGCTGAGCGTCCACACTGCCCTCTTGCGCAAGAGTGCCACCACAAGAGAGCTTACACCTGTTGGAAAAGAGCATAGTTCTTGCACAAGGAGCCATCTCTTACCATGCTGTACTGTACATTTTCTTGCGCAAGAGCGGGTGGGCAGTGTAGACGCTCTGCGGATTCTTGCGCAAGAACGGCCGTACTTGTGCAATAACCGGCCTGTATAGATTTAGCTTGTGTCTATGGGCCAGGTAGCAGAGGGAAATGACTTTTGGGATGAGCTGGGCTGTAATCACCCCAGTGGCCTAGGGCTGTCTGTCTCTCCTTCCCCATCTCCAAGTCAGTGATGCTGTATCTGCTCCATTTGGTGTTGGAAGAATGAGCATTCAGGAAGAACAGGAATAGACTCACTGTAGTCTGATCATACAATAATTTTGTGAAAGAGGTTGCCAGAGGGTTGGGAAACTAGTTTGAGCACATTGGTCTGCAGGGAGAGGGTTTGGAGAGTGGAAAGTTACCAAGCAACATATAGAGACAAGTGACTAAGAAGCAGAGCTAAGCAAAAATTGTTTATCAAATAGTTTATTCATTAAAAAGTGTGAGGTTTGGTCATCATGAAATGTGCATTCAGCAAATAGTTTCAACCAAAACAAAACCAAAATGTTTTGGAAATATCAAAAGTTTAATTTTTGACCCAACTCAACATTCTAACCTCCCTTCCTTTTTTGAAATAAAGAGTCTCAAAATGGCCTGGTGGGAAAAGGAAAAAAATCTCTAGAACTTGGTCTTTAGGGCCCACATTTGGCTTGGGGGAAGATCCTGGTTCAGTTTTGCCCTCTTTCTGCTGTAGAGAAGGGGCTGAATGGAGTTCTCCCACAATACAGGAGCAGTCCCTGGTCATCAGGCTATGGGATAATCTGATGTGGCTCTTCTCTCTCGCTCACTCCTTATCATAGTTGGAATGAGCCCCTTAGGACACTCACTGGACCCATGGCCAGTTAAGTACCTCCTAATAAAGTTAATAGTGCTCATTCGTACCCAATATAAAATCAGGTTGTTGTTAAGAATGGCAGGAAACAGGAAGTACCAGCAAGGAGTGCCTTGAGGAAGATGGCAGCTTGTGCTGGGAAAGAAAGATAATTCTGAGCTTAGGAAAGGGAGCTGAGCCCGAGCCCGAGCCCAGGGGACTATCACTTGATAGAGATTAAATCTGTGGTTTATTGATTTTTCTGAGGACTGTTTATAAAGCTGTCTCGGAGAGGAGTTTGAGGAAGGGCATATTTAGAGGATCTTTGACTTAACTACTCTCCCAAGTCAAATCAATAACACCCAGCCAGGGTGTAAGAGGAGTAGAAACTTGTGCAGCTCCTGCATAGGGACACCAGGAAGAGGGAATGGAAATGAGGCAGATCGGGAGCCTACGTGCACTCATCTAGAATGGGTGCTACAAGACGACTACCAGACTTTCCTGCTTACTGGCACAGGGTTTCCCCAGTTCTAGGTGAGTGTTATAACTACCATACTGTAAAATAATTCCCACACTTTCCTCAGCTTTCCTCACTCATGGTGGCAGTAGAGTTGCCAGGTGTTTGGTTTTGAACCGGACAGTCCAGTATTTGAGCTTTCTGTTTGGGAAACAAATTGAAAAAATATAAATGTCCGGTATTTTCTAAATAAGATATAATGTAGATTGTGATGTAATGTCAAGTGTGTCCGGTATTTTTATTGAAACCATCTGGCAACCCTAGGTGGCAGTACCTAGTTAGTACTATTCAAGCACTTACTTGAGCCTAGGGGAGATTATATGAAACAGGGATCTTCTTTTACAGAAAGTAACCTAGCAGTCTTTGAGAAGGTGCGGGAGGGAAGCTGAGAGCCACGAACCAGCTACACCTACACCTACAAGTTAGAATAGCATTGAGACTGCTCTCATTTACATTAGCTGCATATGACTGCCAGATGATTGGCCAGTAGATAGGACTACTTTGAGCTGCTCCTCTGCACCTTGCCATAGCCCCTGCAGCAGAAGGCCTATGAGCTGAATACATCTGCTATATGCTCCCTACAGGGGACTCGTGAGTGGCCTCTGCTCCCCTGGTAGTATCAGAGTAGTGCAAATGGAGTGCAGCAGGCCTGACAGATCTGCTTAAAAGCACTTTGGGGAAATACTACTTGGGCTTTGGAATGAAGAGGCTGGATGGCAGAGGGCAAACAATTCATGAAGCATGCTGGGGAGTAGGGAACCCCTCCACTGAGCCAGAAATGAAACCCAACGTCCACAGCTAGGAGACAGAGTAAGTAACTGGCACTTACTACCAAAAATCACAGCAATGCAGGATTGGAAGGATTAGGTCATCTAGTCCAGTCTTCTGTGCTGAAGCAGGACTTAGTGTTGTCTAGACCATCTCTGTCAGTTGTCTAACCAGTTCTTAAAAATCTCCAGTGACAGTGATTCTACAGCCTCTAGGTAACTTATTCCACTGCTTAATTAACCTCACAATAGTGGGGTTTTCTTAGACTTTTTCTTAAAGTCTAAAATCTTCCTTGCTACAATTTAAGGCTATTGCGTCTAACCCCCGCCATCAGTAGTTAAAGAGAATATCACCTTCCTTTGTCACAACCTTTTTCAAACTTGAAGGAAACTTAGGTCTCCCGACAGCCTACTACAAAGTAAACCATTTTTTTTCCAATCTTGCCTCGTAAGTAATTATCTTCAATCAGTTTTATTGCTCTCCTCTAGACTTTCTGCAGTTTGTCCACATCTGCCCAAAGTGTAATGCCCAGAACTTGATACAAGACTTCAACTGGAGCACTGGTAGAATTCCTTTTCATTACTCGCTTACAAAAAAAAATCTGGGAAATATTAACAGTAATATTGTAACATTACACTGATTCATTTAATGTGATTTCCTACAATGCACATTCTTTTCTTCCTGGCTATCGTTTCCCATTTTGTATTTGTGCGACTGATTAATTCTTCCTAACTGTTGTACTTTACATTTGTCACTAATTCAGATTTTCTCCTGTTTGCCAACATCACTTTGAATTCTGATCTTGTTCTCCAAACTGCTTGCAACTTCTCCCAGCTTTGTATCATCAGGAAACTTTATAAGTGTACTCTCTCTGCTCCATCCCCTATTAGGTTAATCTAGAAGGTAAATAAGCATCTGTGCCAAAGGTGATGAGCAGTCACAGGTGGTGGTGGGGACCCCTATTCCATAAAACAAAGCACAGTGGGTGACAGGATAGAAACAGAACAGTCGTGGAGGGACCACATTTCAGGGCTAAGACTGAAACAGCTTGGTCAGTCTGGCTTTGACAAACAGCAGCAAGAGAGGAAGCAGGGTGAGATCTGACTAGATCTGAAGAGGAATTGTTTGTGGGGCATACAAAGGAGGAACAGGGTTCAGCTCATTCGTGCAATGTTCCAGCTGATTATCAGGGCTCCTCTGCTAATGTGAAGGGCCTTTTGAGTTGAATATTTGCTCAAGAGAAGCCCCCCTCGCATAGCAATTTAAAAACGGACTGGACAAAGGCCTAGGGAATGGACTGCAACGTATAATCCCATTTGGCTCTAGGAGGGAAAAGGAAAGATTAGATGGGACCCAACAAAGTTCTTCCTCTTCTCCCCTGTAGGAGCAGGTTCTAACACAAGACATACTCAGCACCAACATCCATTTAATTCCTCCCTCTTCAGGAGGGGAGCACAGCACATAGGCTGGGCATTACAAAAGCAAGCCAAAGGAGTGGGGAGGGAATAACAGAGTTGTAGAATCCCAGCTAAGTATGCACAAGGTTGTGAGGACAGTTCTGACCAGTACAGATGCAGACTGGCAAGAGCTGATTTCCCTTGAGACGCGATGGGGAGCCCTGCACTCTTCTCCCCAAAAGAGGTACAAAGAAACCAAGTCCTTTTCCCCCCCCAATAGTTGCAGGTGTTATGACCTAATAGCCCCAGAAGAGGTGAGGGCAGTGAGTCAAGAGTCCATGAGGCTACTGGGACAAGGCAATGGCTTTGGCCGTTGTGTTCAATACAATAGAGGAAACAACAGGGATGTCTCTGGCCACTCTCTGAAAGGGGGGGATGTTGGGTCTTTCCAATGTGTCCAGGATTCCTGTGAGGAAGGGTAAAAAGTGAGAGTTAGATCCTAAGGTACAGTGTTTCTATTTCACTCTGGCCAGGCAGATGGGGCACAAGCTCAGAGGTGTTGCACATCTAAGCTGGAGGCAGGGGTTCCAGGACAGGCAGCCTTTAGGTTCATACAAATGGGAACACTTCCAGTACAAGCCCTGAGTTCTATGGCCAAACAGCTGCACGCATCAGCCTGTCACCTCTGCAGTAGGGCAGGGTGCTGGTGTCTCAAAAAGAGTGGAATACAGATCCCTTCGCCTTGAGGCTGTCTATCCTAGTGTCACAGCTAGTAAATGCTGCTCTCCTGAGAGACTCCCAAGACAACCTCAGCCTGAGAGAGCCCTCTCCCTTTGACTTTAGTTGTCCCCCTAGGACAGTGCCACAGATCTCATGTTGCTTTTCATCCTTGTGTGCGCATATAGACTTCACAGCTGGAGTTGTAGCTGGTGAGGGAGTGTGGCATTGTATCACTCTGCAGTACAGATATGGACCTGGTGTGGCAGGGAACAGAGGTGCAGACTCAGGCCTGCCTGTAACTCCAGTAATGCAAGTGATTGCTCCTGGAAGCAAGGAGAATCCTTTGGAAGATGTTCTTCCCAACAGGTGAGTCTCACACCAGCAGCTTGGAACCTTTGCTCTGACAGAGAGACTAGAGCCATGACAGGACAGTGCTGACTTCCAAAAAAATGTTAGACTATTCTATAAGGGTCAATAATGGGGCTGCATCTAGAATACTGTGTACTGTTCTGGTCACTGCAGTAAAAGGAAGGCCTGAAACAAAAGACCATGTAGCATAGGCCTGGTTTGAGGGCTAACTTGCTAATATAAAACTAATATAGTCAAAAGCTTGCTAATATAAAATTAAGCTGTGAGCAAGAGGCAGGCCCCTGCTCGCATTCTCAGCCTTGTTTGTGCCAAGTTGTGTAAAACACTAATTGGTAATAGACTCAGGTGTAGAACAGCAACTGGTATTAGGTACTGGCTAGGGACGTTAAATTTAGATTACCTGGCTAATAAGGGCGCCTCCACCTTTGAAGTGTAGCAACAGCCCCAGGGTTGCCACTTTGAAATACCGCACAGAGCCCAATATCAGCGGAGGAGTCCCCAGCTGACCCCGAGCTCACATGGCACTGCTGCTCCGCTGATATTGGGCTCTGTGCGGTGAGTCCCCAGCTGACCCCGAGCTCACATGGCACTGCTGCTTTGAAACCCTGTGCACCCTGGGGACAGTTGGGTACACCCCGCTGGCCCTGGGCTGCATGCGGCATTTCAAAGAAGCAGTGCCATGTGGAGCCTGGGATTTGGCCCTGGGATCCACACAGCACAGCCACTTTGAAGCACACTCTTCTCCCTCCCTCCTTGCTGCTTTTTTCTGATAGAGGAAGCAAGTGGGGGAGCAAGTGAAAAGTGACTAGTCAACTAGAATGTTGACTGATAAGCATTTGCTTATCAGATAGTCAACTAGTCATTCACATCCCTAGTACTGGCTGTAAAACAGTAATTGGTACTAGACATAAGTTAAAAGCACATTCCAAAAAGGTGATAACACCAGCTTGTTAAAAAGGATCTTGGTACCCACACTCCCCACAGATACCGACTTTTGTTAGGCTCTAGCTATTAGAATGAGACCTAATGTAGGAAGCAGATTATCCCACATCTGACTACTGCTAATCTTAGACTGGGGTGAGAGAATTTTTGATGGGGGGGGGGGGCTACTCCAAGAATTTGGGAAGTGGTCAAGGGCCACACTTTTACATGATATTAATGGAGGACGTGTGGGTTCTGGGAAGGAAGTTGGGTGCAGAAGGATGCTCAGGGCAAAGGGATTTGGGATGAAGGAGGGGGTGTGGACCCTGGGAGGGAGTTTGGGTGAAGGAGGGGGTGTGACCTGGGGCAGGGGATGGGTGCAAGTGAGGATTCTGACCTGGAGGAGGAGAGTGTGCAGGTGTTTGTGTTGTGACCAGGGGCAAGGGATTGGGGTACAGGAGAGGATGCTGACATGGAGAAGGGGTGCAGGAAGGGAGTGCAGGGTCTGTGACCTGGGGCATGGGATTGAGGTGCAGGATAGGAGCAGAGGTTTGGGGGAAAGGAGGGGCTGGGATGTCAGGTGTAGACTGACTAAGAGGCGCTTACCTAAATGCATCTTGTGCTGCATACATCTGCTGGGGTGGGGGCAACACATGGAATCCTCTTCTCCCCAGCATGCAGAGAGCACATGCTCCTCCCTCCCTCCCCTCCACCCCCCCACACTTTGTGGTGTACAGGGAATTGAAGGCAGGGAGTCTGCCTGAGGCTCCCGCTGGGCCACAGGCCATATTTTACCCACCCCATGTTAGGCCCTTCTCTGGAGCATCTGGTATTGGCCACTGGCACAGACCAGATACTAGAGGAGATGAATCTCCAATCTGATCCTATACAGCAATTCCTATGTTACCAGGCCCAGAACCAGGCTACAAGTTGGGAAGAAGAGAAAGCAGGGCCCCAAGGTGTCCAGTCAGTAACCCCAAGACTAAAGAGCTGTTGCCTTCCTGACCAGCTTACCTTCCACCACCTTGTGATAGGCAAAGTGCAGATAAAGGAGGAAAAGCATATGCAGAGCAGCCAGGGTTCCACACAGGATGAGCCGCTGGGTATGTCCCACTGTGCGTGACACCAGCACAGCAACCTAGGAAAAAGACATGGCCTTAAGACAGGGCTACTCAACATGTGGCTCACGGGCTATATGTGGCCTTCGGTGTGGTTTGGGTTTATGCAGGGCTCAACATGTGGCCCACAGGTGGGAGCCAAAACAAAAAAAGTAGTCAATACAACGGTCTTCTGTTGAGATGCGTTTTAGTAGTTAAATTTCTGGACTGTCATTGCTCATTCAAGGTGCTGTCATATGGGTGGAAATTGGGTAAATATTGCAATTTATTAATATCAGCAGAACTGACTTAAATGGGGCCTGTGTGTTGTGTAGTCTTGTCTTAATCTGTGTATTCATGCCCATCAGTGTGAAACTATTTGCATATATATTTGCATGCATATGCAACCACACTTAAGTTACAGCCCTCAGCATGTGTTATGAGGTATCATTGTGGCCCTCGGGGCTTCCAATGTTGAGTAGCCCCGGCTTAAGAGAAAAAATCCCCACAGCCCTCGCCTCTAATTTCAGAATCCAGTGCAGGAGATGCACATGGGAGATTGGACAAGCTGTAAGAGCTTGCTGATCCCTCAGCCCCTCTTCAGGCAGAATAGCAGGAGGCCTGATTGCAGCAGGGATCCAATATATCCCTTGCTAGATCCAAGGGAATGGGCATGGACCTCCAGGACTCCCTATCACGCTGCCCCACTACAAGGGAAAGTCAGGCCGTTTCCCACGACCTCCCACTCAGTTGTGATGGGAATTATTGCCAGTCCTGCAGAGCAGAAAGCACATTCCATATCTATCTCCTCTAGTTCCACTTGTAGTGGGGCTCCCAGCAGCCTAGTGAGACTCCGACATTAGCTACTACCCTCAGGGAGGTGTGACAGCAAGTGTATATCTCTGCAAAGTTACAGCTCTCAAACCTGCTTAGCAGAGAGCCTCTGCTCTGCTGTCCATCCCTTACCATCCGTAGTGTGGAGAGGCCACCGATCCCCAGCCAGCAGATATAAAATAGGGAGTGGAAGTGGATGTTATAGGTAACAAACAGGGTGACGCAGTGTCCAAAGAGACCATAGCCCTGAAAGGAAAAGAAAATGTGTGGTGAGTGGCAGCCCTGAATGGAGGCTGGATATGATCAGTGGCAGCTCGTTCTGAACATCCCAAAGCTTCTCTACCTGCATATACACTAGAGAGATGCAGCAGCCAACTAGCAATCAGCTGTGGTTACTGTGCTGGCTGGAAGTATAGCTTCCTATTCCAGAATGCTGGGGCATGCTGGAGGTGTGTATAACTGTAGGGCAGCAATGAGCAATCTAGGCTAGTGAGTGGGCTGCAGGATTGTAGTAACCAAGACGGCTTCCTGGGATAGGACAGTTTTGCTAACTGGGCTTGTGTACCTAAAATTTGCAGGGTGTGCCAACTGAATTGTAGCAGCACTTTGATTACATGCGGAGGGAATACACAGTTGTATGCAATCAGCACGCACCTCACGTCATATGCCTTGCTTTAAAGATGTGTCACTTTAGTAAGGAAAAAAAAAACTATGCAGACAGAAACCAGTGGAATCTGGTAACCCTGCAGGTGGGCAGCGGTAATCAAAATGTATTTGCAGGCCACACATAGAACCCCAATGGTCTGCAGGTTGCCTACTAAAGGACATAGACCCTAAAGGGCCTGACTTGCAGATGAAGAAAACTAACCTATGTTTAGAGGAAATGGGACTCCCAAGGACATTGAAATCAAGGAAAGAAACAAATGTGTCAGTCTGTAGAAACTGCCCCTTCCTCTAATCCCAAGAGAGGGAACCCTGGCAAGGCAGCATGGAGCAAGAAGAGCAGCTTGGGACTCAAAGTAAATTCCTGCCTTGTCCCAAAGCAGCTGAAGAGCTTGTTCATACATACACAGTACAGCCAAAATAAAGTCCGCTATGCCAGGGCTACATTCCCAACCCCCATCTCCTGTTGAAGTTCTGTGCACTCTGGAAACCCTTCTCTATACATACCAGCAGTGATAGCATCTGCACCATTGTGATCTGGGCATTGCACAGGTATGCCAGGAAATAGATGAAGGAGGAGACGCCCAGCCAGTAACCGAAGCAAGTGCCAATGGCTGTGCCCATCAACGTGCCTTCCCTCTGCAGAGAGAGCAAGACAGTGAAGAAAAGGACAGAGAAGACATCTCACAGAACAGATACAAGCCAATCGCTACCCCCTCGCCAGCAGATTCCCCCTTGCCTTTGGCAAATGTTTAGCTAATGCCTGCTTAGCAGCATCCAGAGAGGGCGGATCAGTGATACAGTGCTAAACTGTATAGCAAAAGAGGCCTGCAGAAGTGACCTCAAGTAGGTAATTCTGTCACGTGACAGATTTTAGGGATGATCTTGTGTGACATCACCATAGAAAGCCTCCATGTCCTAACATTTTCTCTATCAGTAGATGAGACTTCAGTAATAAATACAGGTATCATAACATAAAACATGCATAACTCAGTTTAAGTTTGGCTTATAAAAGATAAGTAGCAAAGTACATCCAAAACTCACATTTAGTCAGTAAAAAAGCCCAAAGGTGACACACAATAATCTTTACAAGTTTTAAATAAAAGCAGTGCTTACAGGTATGTTCCAGCTATATTTGTAGGGCTGCCCCATAAAACTAATTTAACTGGCTGATCAGACCAGCTTGACAATGATTTTCCATCCAGCTCCAACTTATCCTGACAGCCCTCACACACATCCCACTCCCAGCAGTGCCCAACACCTTAGCACCCCTAGCCCCCCACTCACCTCAATATACTGCCCCCTCCACAGCTCCATCACTCTCAGTCCCACTCACAATTCACCCTGGTACCTTTCTAGCCACTCCCTGGTAACCCCCAGTACAGCATCCTGTTCCTGTCCCAAGCTAGGGTGGCTCCTCCCAATCCTCACCATCCAGTCCTGGATTTCTGATGCAGGGGTGCATCTCTGGAATGCTCCAGCTGCACTACACCCCACGCTAGTTCATCCATTGCAATAGGCTTTTTCCCACTTCCCAGACAGCCCCAGAATAGGCCTTATCACACATCAAGGTTCCTGTCACCAATGCATTTCTAAGTCACACTCAAAATAGAAGCACCCCATGTAACTGACAGCAGTTCAAAGCCTAGTGCCAACCTGATTTGAAACTGAAACATTCCCTTACAATTATAGTGTCTGAAGTCTTCATCCCATGCAACAGGATAGCCACCAATGTGAAGACCAGCATAAGGGGGCCGTAGAGCTCACCTGCAATCTTCTACAAGGGTGACAGAGAAGAGAGGGGTTTGGTTAGTGCTACAGGAAGCCAGACCACATTCAGATTACATGGGAAGTAACCCAGACTTAGCTCATACTCTGGTCACTTGCTGACCTGAACAATTATACAAAAGGCTGGTGATAGCTACCAAAGAGAAACAATCACATAAGTAAGACTTGAGGAAGAAGCTTAACAGAGTTATTGAGTCAGATCAGGAGCTAAAGTCATGCTTGTCCCACTGCAAGAGACAGGTACAGATGGGGTGTGGTACAGTGGGAATTAACCAGAAAATCTAGCAGAGGCACCATACAACAATTTCTATCTCACACAATTCATACATAATCAGTCACCCTGGCACATGCATGGCAAAGTGCTTTAACTAATTCCCTACTCTGGGAGAGGGGGGCAGAGAAAGAATGGAAGGCAAAATGAAAGGAGTCTGAGTCAGAGCCCAGGGTAGCCTGCTTTCAGGCCCAAGACAGCTGTAATTCACTTCTTGACAAAGTGAGCAAGAGCTGTCTGTAGCACTGTGTCAGCAGCACTTTGCTGACAGGCTTATTCCTTAGCAAACTGACAGTTTCAGAGAGCATTGAACTTGGAGGTGAATGTGAGTAGAGGGCAGGGCCCGATTGTCCCCTTGGTGCTGGTTGGAATTTCTGAACTCCCCTCAGGCAAAGGTGTGCAGCCTACTGATAGAGAGATGTGTGTGTTAGAAATATTTAACAACCGATTAAGTGCTCCTGTACTTTTTAAAGCCCATTTACTCAGGATATAGAATAAAAGCTCTCCACAGTGGAACTCACCTGGGGAAAATTAATCATCTTCATGGGGATCATGGATTCCAGCAGTCTGCACCTCACAGAAATATCAAGAGTGAGGAAGGAAATGAAAAAGTTAACAAGAAACCCAAGAAGCAGGAGATGCTGTATTCCATTCTCTGATCAGTGATACAAAGCTCCATATCTCTTCCCCTCTGACCCTCAACAAAGCCAGCCAGTCCCACTAGCAGCCAGGGACCAGACTGGAAACAGTGCCTTAGAGGGGAAGAGGATTTGTATTGCAATCCTATCCCCCTGTGCACAAACAGTTTTCTCTGCCTGGTGTCCCGAGAGCAGGGTGACACCATGGCTATTATAAAGGAGATGTGCAAAGTGTTGCACTTGTGGGACAGATGAGGTTTTGTAGGGCTATGTATGCCCTTTCCTCACACTGTATGCAAGAGCAGTAACAATGAAAGGCTAAAGGAGCTGCTGGTTCAGCTCCACAAACCCTGTATCTTACACTTAGAATGGCAGCAATAGGCTATACATGAAACAACATACATCTCAGGATGAACTGAGGGTAGCCCTTTAGGAATAATGAAGGGTAAACAAGGGAGGATCCTGGACAAATTTCCCCCAAAGGCTATCTCCATAGCAAGTCCATAAGCAGAAGTGGATTAGTTAGGAGCTATCCAGGCCTTTATTATGTGAGAAACAGTGGGAGATGCTCCTCACTTTATGGCATGACCCTTCTGTCCTGTTCAGGTTGCATCTCTACCCTGTTATACTGGACCAGGAATACATGACAGGCCTTTCACAGTACCCCATGAAGGGGCCATAGTAGTGGACGGGGCTGCTCATACGAGGATGCGAGACTGAGATAACTGCATGGCCTAAGTCATTTGCCCCTGTGCTTAGTTTGCTCACCTGTTGCGAACCTGGATGGGCTCCACATCAAAGTAAGGTCTGAGAATATCAATGTTGGCATAGAGATTGAAGGCCTTCGACGCTTGTCTCTTACCTGCCTGCCACATCTGGGGAGAGAAATCAGTAACTGTAGCAGACTAAACATTCCCTTTGCAATGCCGTTCTGAGGCACATCTCCTGGAACCAAAGCATCCAGTGGCTAAATAACCAGAATGAAAATTAAACATCTTTGGAGTGATCAGCATCCCATCCAAAGCCTAGGGGAAAGTAGGACAAAAGACATCAAGCCCAGAATGGGACTCAAGCTGTAGCACCCAGAAACCAAAGGTGAGATAGCTCAGGGTCATATGGGAAATGGCTACCTGGACCTAAAATGGGACTCAACATCTATAGCTCACTACAGTCAGAGCCAGACACAAGAAGGCAACACAGCCCGCCCCCCATCTCTTGCAGCGCTCTGCTCACCTGGTCAGCTACTTGCCGGCCCAGCTGTCCCTTAAAACCCTTCATGCCCAGGAACTCTCCATCCTCCTCGTCTGCCGCAGCAGCTTCTGCATCCACCTCCTCCTCCTCCTTCATGCGCTGGTGCATCTCGCCCATGTCCTCGAAGCTGGAGCCAGACGTGTCGTCCATGTTCTCCATGTCGATCACAGCGGAGCCGCCTCCCTGCGCCCCAGGGCAAAGGGTCGGGGAGTCAGGCTCAGCGCCAGGGCCGGGGAGCGCCCGTCCCAGCGCCGCGGCGCCCGCAGCAGGGCAGGCGCCACCCTAGCTCCCAAGCCGGGGAAGCGCAGAGCCGGGGGGG